CATAGCCACTACAGAGACGGGACACCACACCATACTCCAAAACACATATACAGACCAGGCAGGGCGAGCACCGACACACAGCCCGACCCCCCCTTAGGACCAGGACACACGGCACCCTTCAAGGAAGGGGATACACACACCCCAGAGTCGACTCGGTCCCTCCGATAGGCCGGACAAGCAGTCGTACCGACGGGTTAATTGTCCATTACCCTTAGCGGACACTGACCTCCAAAGGCAGTGTATACACACACAGAGCAGAAACAAAATCCACACGCAAACACAACTACACGACACATTCCATTCAAACACCTACGAGCCCAACACCACCCACCACCCTCAGCTACACCCACTAGTCCCCCCTGGCCGCCCACGAGATGCCGGCCCCGGGGCCAAACGGATTCGCGCGTGAGGACCTGAACATCGTCTCGTACAACGTGCACGGACTGAACACCAGGGAGAAACGGACGAGACTACTACGAGACCTAAAACACTACAAGGCGTCGGTAGCCTTCCTGCAAGAAACCCACTTCCAAGAGGGTAGAGCACCAGCCCTGAAAGACCGAAACTTCCAAGTAGGATACTTCAGTAACAACCCCGTAAAGCGCACGCGAGGAGTAGGCATTCTTTTCTCCAGACTTCTCCCCTACGCGGAGAAAGCTACCATCAGGTGCGAACAAGGTAGATACATTTTCACCAAAGGCACAATCCTGGACCAAACATACACATTCGCCAACGTGTATGCCCCGAACACAAAACAACACCAATTCCTTGGACGCGCACTGAACACCTTGATGAAATTCACAGAAGGCACCCTAATAATCGGTGGAGATCTGAATCTGGCACTACACCCGGACCAAGATTCCACTTCCCCGCAAGGCGCAACCCCACACAACAGACACGCGAATACACTGCGCCTCCTCCACCACCACCAATTGGCGGACTGCTGGCGGGCTTTGCACCCAACGGACCGCGACTACACCTTCTACTCAAGGACCCACGCAACATACACAAGGCTCGACTACTTCCTCACACCACATCAAAACTTGACCCTGCTCACCACCGCAGAGATCCTACCGATGACATGGTCGGACCATTGCCCGATCCGCATACGGATGAAGTCGCCGCTGTTTAGACCCAAACAAATGTCGTGGCGGCTGAACGAATCGCTCCTATCTGACACGACAGTGGTAGATAAAATCAGCGACTCCATACGAACATACTTCGAGGAAAACGAAACCGACGACGTGACGCCACTGACATGTTGGGAGGCGCACAAAACTGTGATCCGCGGCCAGATTATCGCAATCAGCGCATCCCGCAAGAAGACAGCGATACAAGCGATCCTCGACCTCAGCCGGGACATAGCAGCCCTGGAGGCAAGACATAAACGCACCCTGGACGCGACAACGTATGGGGACCTGGTAACCAAAAGAGGTCAACTCACCACACATCTCAATCGCTCAATACAACGCTCATACCAACACTACAAACACATGATACATGAACACGGGGACAAATGCGGGAGGCTACTAGCAAACCTCCCTCAAACAACGCAGGACCCAACTCTACATCCCAAAGATCAAGGACGCAAGACAGCAACTCAAACACCGGCCAGACCACATATCCGCAGCATTCCGAGCCTATTACCAGAACCTATATAACCTCCGCCAAGCAGCCCCAGGAGCCCCACGGACAAACATCATTGAAAATATCAGGGTATACCTGGACTCCGCGAACGTGCCCGACATAGGTGACATAGCACGAGAAGCATTAGAAGCACCTATAACACCAGAAGAAATAGCGTACGCCATCAAAAGAGCGAAAACAGGCAGAGCACCAGGACCGGACGGCCTTCCCCTCCAGTATTACAAAACATTAACACACGTTACGACACCGAAACTCCTGGCGGCACTTAATTCCATCCAAGATGGGGCCACACCGACGGCCCAATTCACCTCAGCCAACATCACCCTACTCCCGAAGGAAGGGAAGGACCCAACACTGTGCCCCAGCTACCGCCCGATATCTGTGTTAAACACGGACCTCAAGCTCCTCGCAAGCATCCTCGCGACCAGACTGGCGCCACTGCTCCCCGCGTCAATCCACCCAGACCAAACAGGATTCATCCCAGGCAGGGAAGTGAGGGACAACACCATCCGGGCCCTGAACATCATAGCCCACGCCAAAACGCAAAAGACACCGGTACTACTCCTGTCAACAGACGCGGAAAAAGCGTTCGACAGAGTAGACTGGGACACGATGTTTGAAACACTGCGACAATTCGGCATAGGGGCGAGATACCTCAACTGGGTGACGGCGCTCTACACGAACCCGACAGCGCGGATCAGGATCAACGGTGCACTATCAGACCCGTTCCACATCCTCAACGGAACCAGGCAAGGATGCCCGCTCTCACCCTTACTATTTGCAATGACGCTAGAGCCCTTCCTCAATAAGATCCGACAGAACGCAGACATACAAGGAATCAGGATCGGAAACATGCACCACAAAATCCTGGCATACGCGGACGACCTATTGTTTGTGGTCACGAACCCTGAGACCTCCCTCCAGGCCATACAGACAGAATTCGAAGTATACGGCCAACTTTCAAACCTCCAAATCAACCACTCGAAGTCGGAGATCCTAAACCTAACAGTCAACCACGCGCTGAGAACAACGATCCAGAGACAACATCCATACCGCTGGTGCGACCACAGAATGCGATACCTGGGGGTCTGGCTCACGCCCAACCCAGCGGACCTATATGCGCAAAACTACCTCCCAATACTAAAAAAGGCGACGGAGGAACTACACAACTGGAACTCCTACTACATATCATGGCTAGGAAGGGTAAACGCGGTCAAAATGACGCTTCTCCCCAAACTATTGTTCATATTTCAAACAGTTCCAATAACAGCCCCACCATCATTTTTCACGGCACTGAAAACGGAAGTCCGCAAATTCATATGGAAGGGCAAGTCCCCCCGAGTAGCACATGCCCAACTAATCCTGCCCAAACTCCGTGGGGGACTGGCACTACCGGACTTCGAAAAGTACTATCAAGCGGCACACCTCACGAGAATCATCAGTTGGACGGTGGCCAGCGGCACGAAATTGTGGACCCAACTGGAATCAGACACGACCAACTGCGACCTCAGGACGCTACCCTGGATCCCAAAAGCAACATACAAACACAAACACATCAACAACCCATTCGTGGCGGCCACCATGCAAGTCTGGCACAGACAGGGCGCGAAACAATATCTGACGACAGACCCCGGCCCACTTCTCCCCTTGAGAGGCAACCCAGACTTCCCGGCAGGGGACATGGGCCCAACCCCGCACCCAATAGGACACAAGCCAATCATCCGCATGAAGGACATCCTCCAGAACCCCTTTGACATACGACCACTGCACGAACTATTCCCAGATAGACCTCTTACCTTCATACACACACTCCAGAGAGCGCAAATGACACAATACGCCCGATCCATACCTCAGAAACCATCCCTCCTGAGGGACCCAACATCGTTTGAACACCTCTGTATGCAAGACAAGGAACCGCCACGGGCCATATCACAGATCTATTCGACCCTAATCACGAGCAGATACATATTGGCACCCCCATGCGTCAGACAGTGGGAGGAAGACCTAGACGAACCCATGACAGAGGCAGAATGGGACACACTCATCACCTTAATACAGAAAACACCGGCCTCAGCACGCCTACAGGAGAATTCCTACAAAATCTTCACCAGGTGGTACCTGACGCCATCAAGGCTCCATGCAAGAAACCCAGAGATAACTGACACCTGCTGGAGATGTGAGGAAGCAGTGGGTACGTTCACACACATCTGGTGGGAGTGCCCCAAGATCCGTCCATATTGGGAGACGATCAGGCAAACTATACACGAAGTAACAGATGAATTATTGCCAGAGACCCCGGTCGCCTTCCTCCTACACAAAACTACAATGCCAACACAGGCATACATCAGATCCATCATCCCCAGACTACTAAACGCGGCCAAGGCGACCATCCCCATCTATTGGAAGCAGTCCACTGCACCCCCACTGAGACGCTGGGTAGAAGAAGTGGAAGCGACGCGAAAATTCGAAGACATGAAAGCCGTCACCACGCAACAAAGGGACCGCTACTCACAACGCTGGTTCTACTGGTTACACCACACTGCGTCTGACCCCTTCCAAAGTCACCTAGCAGCAAACACCCCCGAGAGGAACGAGCGAGAGGAGGCGGGCCCGAGCGGGGAGCCGAGAAGCCCGGGGGCTGAGCGGAACGGGGCGGCGACAGGGGACTAGATAACAGACCACCAACCCACAACCCCCTCGCTCACTCACTTAGGACACGACCACACAC